ATATTACATTGCGCATCGCCGTTTCGACGAGTAAACAAAAGATGTGCGTGCGACATCATATTCTTCTGGAAATAATTTCTCTATCTTGATTATAAACTACAGGACACACACACTATAGACACATCGTTTCATTCGAGCGTCACCGCATTTCTGATTCATCAGCACAAATTATTATCGACGTGAAGCGGTTTCAGGCCATTATATTCGAGAACTAGAGAAGGGCAGAAACATATGGTTCGCGTGAAGGCATTATACGTCCGAAGCAGTGGAAGGGGGTTCTCGGAGGATTTTAGGCTCGAGAGTTAATGTCGTTGAGTGTGATGGATAGCGTTCTGATCTTGTATTATCCTTCCGCTTCTTTTACGTTGAATTATCCAGAATTATCGTAGGCGTGTCGGGTAACAACTCACCTTTCTGCCCTTTTTCTCTTCCACTTCGTCTGATCTTCAAATCGTACATTTTTAATCGATGTATAAGTAGCGAGATACTTCAATGTGCATTATGAATTTTGCTTTTATTAATAGTTGATAGTCATTGTAAAAGTAGTTGAAAAGGCGCTATTGTAAATAATGATTGGTAAAGTTTACGGTCCAGTACGCTGCAGAAAAGCTGCTTCTACAAGAGAAAGAAGAGAGAGAGAGAGAGGGTCCAATAGCCATCACTTGTCAAAAGTGAACTTCAGATTCAATGGCATAGAATTTTGCATTTATTAAACTCAAATCCATTCGAAAATAGAACGTAAAAGGCATTTATGCATTGCAGTCACAAAGCCAAAGTCTAAACTTACTCATGACTGATAATCCCGAAGAAGACAGCTTCTCCGATATTCACGAAACGTTTGATACAGTTGCAGTGAACTTGTCAAACAATCACGCGAGATAGTAACGCAAAAGTGAACAGCCTGGCGATCAAATCCACCGTTGAAATTTACTTTGCTGATCATAGAATCGATTTGAATGCGCGCCTCCGTTTACGAGGAACAATTTCGTTCGAAGGGATCAGCATCGCGAGAAGAAATTCTATCGCGCGATCCAGTTGCACTGGCTTTTCCAGGCGCTCGCTCGCGCGTTATCCTCTGCTCGTTTTTACGACCTCTTAAATAATGTAAAGTCTACGTGTTTCGCACGTTTGTTCTGCCGAGGCGTTGCGGCGCGCGCGTCAATAATGGAAACGTGTGCCGAGGGTGCTTTTTTTTCATCTGGGGATATGCCATATTGCGGAACAGAAAGTGCGGAATTAATAAATGAATGCTCTTACCTCCACCTGTTGCCCATGCTGCGATTATTCGACAACTATACTCTGCTTTAAATTAGTTGTACTATGCCGCGATGGTGAATCGAAGATATTAATATTCTGAGGCCCGAAATTCCTGTCTTGATGATGTTTCTTCAAAAAGTGTCATGAGTTTTCCAAAAAAAAGGGTCAAAGTGTAACTCAATACGAATAACGTCGGGATACAACGTAGAAATGTAAAACTAATATTGTTGTACGTTATAAACAATAATGATATAAAATATTGCAGCATATTCGAAGATCATATTTCCTTTGATCGGTTGTTATCGAGATTTATAGATTTCAGTAAATAAGATGAATTTTTACATTTTAAAATAAATTTTGCAATGTATCGCGTAGTTTGATAAAAAAAGTGACTTTGACGCGAATATCCAGCGTTAAAGTGAAAAGGTTTTATAATATTGCACTACCTAGGAAAAATGAGAATTTAATTTCAATTTTTATCAGACTATTTGTGAATATTTATGAATATTAATTTTATATGTCATGCTTTTATTCTTTTCATATTCTATTATATGACAAACGATGTTCAACATACAACCACAATTTTCATTACGTTGCTTCGTTAAATTCGTAAATTATTTTACAATCACTTTCAAATTAAACTTTGAAGACTTTCCTTTGAGAATAGTGAAGAAAAAATTTTACCTTTATGAATTCTGTAACAGAATATCTGAGCGTTTACACGTCAAACTCGAGCTCTCACTAGCTTGACTTTTATTGTACTAGGTTCGATAGTTCGACGTTGAGAAGGCAAGATGTAAATTTTTTCATTGAATTACAGTTTTGAAAGTGTAACAGTATATTTTAAGTATCGCATACTTCAGTTGCAAATGTTATTTTGTTATGTTATGTGCATTTTTTTTCTATATTTATAAAATGACGAAAATACGACAACGTATTTTGATTAATGCAAACAAGCAGTTGAATATGTAAGAAAAATTAATTAAAAAACTGTTTGTTTGTCATCATTTATTAAAATGTACTTGAACATGAATGTAAATAAATGAATGAAAAATGTTACAATACATCAATTCAATATGTATATTTCTTAGTTAAAAATGATTTTACTAGCATAAAATTGAATTCTTGTCGCCTAGAGATGGTGGGTATTAACTTCTATTCATAACGTCGAAACTATGAACATTCTCGCACACCACGAGTTCTATATAGATGTTGTATATAATCCTCTACTATCGTGAGAATATGTATGTCATGAAATATTTTTTATAATTATTTTATAACCCGATTCACTCAGACTATAAAGATTGTAACTACCATTTTTAACGGCATGGAGATTACTATTAGATATTCGTTAAGTGATGACGAAATACACACGAGTTTTGATATCTTACAAGTACAGCGTGAACTCATAGTTCCAAACATATCATTGTATGACAAATTGTCATTCTCAGACTACACTCGCAAATTAATTAAATGAATGATGAGGCAATAATTTGTCAAGCTTATGTACATAAGGAAATCGATAGTAAACAATGCAGTAATCCTGTATGCACGGAGAAAACAGCACAATAATTGGCCACCTAAAGAGTCAGTTACAGGCTTGAAAATATATTTATATCTATTTATTCATGACAAATGTCGACGACTGCACGTCCCAAGGATATAACGAGCTTATGGGATTTGGCGTTGTTGCCCATGAAAAATGAATCTCCGTAATTTCGTACAATATCGATATTACCGTGTGTGTGATGGTGATTTTCTTGGTACGAGGAAGGGTTCCTCAACTCGTGACCTCGTTACATTTATCTCTCGGTTCACCCCATACACGGCCGTTGCCAACTGTCGCATCGACTACGGCCATAACTGAATGTTTGAATGTTTCCATCCGATATAGTTTGATTATTGGTCTTTTGGTATTCTCTTAGATTTTCATTAATACGATTGAGAAATAGTCGAACCTTAAGAGTTAAGGGTAAAATGGATGAGGCAGCTTTACTTTAGCAATAGAATACCTTAGAATTAGTTGGGCGAATTTAGAGTCTCCAGATTTACTATTCAAATATAGACTTAGGCACCTTAACAGGAAACTTGAAACGAAAACTTGGAAGCGCGCGGAACGTTCTATGAAGTCGATCAGTGGGTTCTGTGTAGCTATCGAATTTGCGGTGTTCGCTGCATTTGAAAATGAGACAATTTTATGCTGAGGGGAAAGTAGTGCTCAGAGCGAGATTTTAACGATTACTATACTGTCGACATTCAAAGCCCAATGGATTCAGCTGAGATAACAAAGCGCTCGTGGATTTGCCACGGCGCAAGCTCACCCGCAGATTGTCTACTCCGCGAGGTTAGTTGCGAAACTGCATAGCTGCGGGAAACAGCCGCATCGCTTGCAGACGAAATAGTGTCTCGGATAACGAGCTATTTTGTTTAGCAGCTGTACTCTGGAAGATTACAAAATGTATTTTTCATAACGGCTTTTCTTTTTCCACGCGAAGCGGAGCGTTCACTTTGTTGGTGGGCACAGTCCATTGTGCGAACGGAAATAGAATTGTTCGTAACATAAGTGACATACGACAGCAGTCTGAATGATATCCTAATGAAATTATTGCGGGAAAAAAATTTCGGGCGATATGATAATTACAGCATAATGATAATCCACCAAGCTTTGAGATTTCATTAACAACGACTCGAAAATTTTCAGTTATAATGGGGAAATTTTCGCTGCATTTTCCATCTCCCGAGGCGTTAATTTGGGGAAAACCTCCAGCGATTTTTTCATTTTGCACGGAATGCCTCGCAGCTATTCCACATTTTCCCCCAGTATAAATTGTTTTACGCTTTTAAGCTCTATTGAGACGCGGCTCTGTATGTATGTGTGTGTGTGAGAAAAACAGAGAATGAAAAAGAGGGAGAGGATAACGATAGTATTACGTTCGTTAAGCTAAAGCCACGTCTTCATTCTCTACTTTTCCGAGGTGAGCTTTCTGAATACATTGTTTACGCAATGGTTGATGTGTCGCAATTCTGGTCTGTTTGACTGTTCTTGCTTTCAGTATAGATGTAGAATTATTGATTATTAGATGTAGCAAGTGTTTCGAAACAATGATAATAAAATTCTATATTTCTATGTATCATTAAGATGAGCCATGATTCGAATAAAGACAACTATGGTAAATTGTGGTGCTTACTTCAAATTGTACTGCAATTTTGTAGCAAGGCCCACAATTTACACTACGGCAGGAATTTAAGTTTATTATAATAAATAACAATTGAAACTTAATAGATGGAAGACCAGTCAACAAAACGTCAACCCTTGTTTCTTTGTCGTTGTCTCCATGTTCGAATACAACACGATTGCACACCTGGCAACGGAACGAAAATAAGGATTTATTTCCGTGACTGTTCGACATGATCTAATGTATTTAGTTCAAGACTCAACTATTTTAGACTTAACTATAGAGAGAGAGAGAGTTCGGTTAGACACAAATAAGATATATTTTTATGTATCATTAAGATGAGTCATGATTTGAATAAAGTAAATGTTTGGTAAACTGGTGCGCATACTTCAAATTGTATTACAATGTTGTAGTATGAACAACTGTTTGTATATTAACAGATAGCGAAAATTTCTATATCAACTGAAATTGAAGAAGTTGGTACACTAGACCTTTCTTCCTGATTAAAACTCGACTCAATCGCAAATACACTGTTCTCCATATCAAAATAAATAAGTGTGTACTTACAACGTCTATGCTTAATAATCCTCTATTTATCCACTGTATGTAATCCAACTCAACTGTGAAAAAACATCTCCTTCTACAACAGAACAGGTAAAACACTTTTATAAGATAAATCCATCACAGCTTCATAAAAAAGAAATACATTCAATTTTCCAGAAAGAAAGGTTTTCCGGTGGCTTTAGCTCGGTAAATCGCATATAAAAAAAAAACGAAAAAAGTGCGAGGCGTAAAGTTCATCCGTCAACATCAATTGGTCCAAGTGATATGTTCATGGTTTTTATGCGAAGGTACAGACTCGTAAAAAAAGGAAGTGTGGGCAACAAGCGACACCTCTTTTGCGTGTGTTATAAAGAAAACGACTTTCATACTTCGCCCCCCTTCTCGCAGTTTCTCGTGACCTTTCGGTGTCCTTTTATATATCAACGACATTTTGTTACCGATGCAAGACTTGTTATACTGCGTATACTTCAGAGTCAATTGGCTAGAATTTATTCGTGACCATAGTGAGGTCAATGCTTTGATACTGCGATTAAGGTAAGTTAATTTTTGTTTCACGTTTCCATACAACAATCAATCATTTATGTGAATTTTAGACTTTATTTATAAACTGTAGAATACATTTGTTTAAATGTTTTTCAGGTATTTACGTTTTCTCTTTTAAATTGCAAACTAATCCTCCTTCGTATTAGATATATGCTATTCGTAAAGAGCATTTAACTTTCTCGTAATAATTTAGGCATATCTCGCTATTTTTTAGATCTTGTATTTTATGCTCGCATTCTAAAACAGCAGAAAAGTCATTTCAACGCAAATGAAGACTTTGCTTTCCGTTGAAGCAGATAATACTCTGAAAATAGGAGGCAATAAAATAAATAATACGAGTGCAATAGGAGGAGAAGACTTGGAGAAGATAAAAAAAGAAGAAAAGGTGTTTAAAATAATATAACAGTGGGAAGAGCACGTTCACGAAATTTGCTGTTTATATACTAGAATTTCAAAAATTATTAGTACGACATTAGTTAAAAGACATTACATGATAACGCGCAATGATTACTGAGTTGGAAAACAGATAATGTTTCAATTTAAGTTAACTCGTAAGCATAATCTTTGCCATTGATTAAAACAATAAACATTTTCACAACGAATACAAAAAAAGAATTTTCAATCGTGCATATCCAGATGGGAATGAAAGTTATCACGCGAGAGGCAAACAAACTTTCGTCTTCCTTAAAAAAAAGTGCCATTGCTTTCCTGCTTCAAGTCTGGTATAGATATCCATTGAAACGAAAGCAAGGAGCTCGCAAGTTGAAAAAAGCCAGCGGGTGCGAGATATATATAATAAGAAAAAGGCGCTTGGGATCTCTTCGCGTGGAAAATATCGTCTAAAGCACCTGAGGGAGTTGCCAGACAGTGAAATTTCATTACAAAATCTTGCACCCTAGCGAGTGTGTTATATATATATATGCCACAAAATAATAATAATAATAATAATAATAATAATAATAATAATAATAATAATGTTTTTCACCTTCACTAACCATTCGCAGTCTTTTCTAATTCTATTCAAATTCAACTTGGGAATAGAAAAGTTGGTGGGAAGCGGTAGCAAATGATTGTTTAAACTAACGTTTGTCAGTGGGAATTCCAGTGGCAAGTACACTCAAAAGCCCAAATTACATTTCCGGCCCTCGGCGCGCTCGAATTATTGAATCTCACGCTGGCGCGCTCAAGTCATTGAAATTCCCTACATTTTCTAGAACGCGCGCGCGCCTCTCCGATGTGCGAATTACACGATACCCTCCCCTTTCCCGTCCGGCAAATAATGCATAATGCTCAATTATTCAGCACTTTATGTACATCCAAGACACTCAAGGAGAGGAGAGGTCAGACCGAACGAGAGAGGGCGAAAGCATAGAGCCCCTTTCGATGGAGGAAAAAGGGGAGAGCTCATAACATAGCTTGCCCTTACCAAATGTGGGTAAAAGATCGAGGGAAAGGAACGGAGAGTTCATACACTTGGCACAAAACTGGACTGAAAGAGAGTAGCGTGTCGAGTGTGCGGCATGGAAAATTCTTCCAAAACTTTGACTGGTTGGTTGCTGAGACTAAATGTTTTTATAGCATTCTTAGCCTATTAGTTTGCCGATTATTCAAATCAAAGCTGAAATGACGTCAGTAGGCCCTGTTTTCAAAGATGCACATACGTATTTTCAGGTAAAATATGACACGATCGCGGACGTAAAATAGAGCTTCGGTGCAACCAAAATTTTATAAAATGCTATCCGTACATAACCATCAGCAGTTAATTTTATAAAAGTTATTTTAAAAATAATCTATTATTTTACTTTTATAAGATTATTTTCTCTTAATTTGCATTGTATCATTGTCCAAAACTATCATACTACAGAAATTTAGTACTTTATCACGTCTTCTAATCATTACAGTAGAAATTAGCCTATTTCTGCGGTACAAGTTACAAATACCGTTTAGAGTTAAAATGCAATTAAAGAAAATGCAGATGTAGAAGCATTTGTGTTGCAAATTACAGAAGTAGACCCGTCGGAGCCATTAGCTAAATGGAAGAGCATGAAAAAGTAGTTGGGGAAATAAGAGAAAAACGTGAGCTGCTGCTACATATCTGGTTTCGTGTGTACGGTGTTGTATACAAGTTTCATACCTATATTCTACACTGTATATCGAGCAATATCAAGGAAAATCACCTACCAAATTTTTTTGCACAATACAAACGAGAAGAAGTTTGTAAAGTAAATAAAAAATTATAGTTTATTGCTTGTCCGAAGTATGATATTGAACTTTTCTACTATGCAAGGTATATATAGTGATTGCATTTGATGTTTTCTTTATTTCTCTCGACTTAATTATTTTCTTTCGCCTCGATATATTCCAAATTCTCGACGGTAGTTAAGGACCTTACAATGAATTACTTCACTCAACCATATACTTGTTTTTCTGGATGTATCGATAGGTGTTCTTTACTTTGATTGCCTTTGATAAAGTGCTTATTTCGAAAATGCATTTAGTTTAAATTCGGTGATACTATTCGGTTTACAGTTTATTTATTATTGATTTAGATTGCTTTCACTTTGAATAACAAACGAAGTCCTCGGTTATTTTTTCCTTGACATTCGTTCAATGAACACATATAAAAACATACTTGCCGAAAGTATGCTCGAGACAAGTATAGAAAAGATCCAGGATCGCGTACCTCATCATTTTTCTGAAACTTTTTCGCGAGCGACTCTCATCAAATTACTGCACGCAAAAGGCACGTATACACGGATATAAAGAGACGCCTCGCCGATCCAGACTTATTCTACTCTACTTACACGGGGAATACCCAATAAAATGAAAAAGAAAGAAGCAAGCCTCTCTTTGCTGTATTGTCTCTGCTTACTCCACAAGTAGTGTATTGATCCAACAATCGATGATACTGCACGAAAAGAGACACCACTTGAGGGTTATACAAGTTTTTCAATTTCCCGTGGACGCAAATCGTGGAAAAGAGACCAGCTCTTTGTGAATGCGGAATATATATTGAGTTTCTTGGCTTCCCTTTGAATTTCACCCGCGTCAAGTTAAACGTAGCCCGACTGAACGCTAAACGAAATGACAAAACAGTAAACACGCTGGCAGGAGAGAAATAACAGTTTATCGAGTATTTTAAGCTTGAATTCCGGAGTGTAATCTTTTGTATTTCTTTTGGCTATCATTAATAATGAGCTAAGCACATCACGCACCACAGCCTCGTGTACGATGCGACAGTGTCTTACTCGCTCTTACCGTAGCTCTCTCTCCGGCGCACTCTCGCTCTTTGTCGTCTTCAAAAAGCGAGGCTCTTGAAAGCTCTCTCAAGCTCGCAGTTGGCACTCGAAGAAAAATGGAGAGGATTCTCCAACGACTAAAGAGTCTCTCTTGCCCGAGGCTTCCTTTTTCCGCGCTATAAGCGCAAAGGAGATTGTCCTGGCGTCGCCGACTGCTATTAAAGATCTTTTTGCGTGAGTTCGACGAACGGACGCCAGCCAGATACTTTTCATCAGAGATATTTCCCTTTTTTGGCACTCTTTCAGCCCAGACGAGCAAGGCTTTTACTATTGGCATAATAACGTTATTTCTCCATTTTCATACGATTGTTCAAGCTTCAGTTTGTTCGTCTATTACCGGAAACGAGATAATTATAATTATTTCTTGACATGATTGATTTATAGATTTACTTTACATATTACATAAATTTCTAAGATCGACGAGATTTTTCCGATAGAATTTTTTAAATAATATAAGTTTACTTCATAATGTAACTAAAATTTAAAACAGCCAAAAATTTTTTGTAACGAACAAACTTTACAATCTACGGTTTCGTTTTAAAACTAAGCGTTTATCTGTATAAACGAGCTGTTGCGCGATCAGTTTGACAATAGTCAACGCGAGTAAACAGTTTAATTTTATTACTATTAAAGTTGATTTGAGTTTTTCTTTTCTTTAATTTGCCTCTACGATCAAGTACAGCATTTATCAACATTGCAACAAACAAGTATAGATTACAAGTTACAAAATTTTAATACTAAAATATACTTTAATGCAAACTATTTTTTTCAGTATACCTTATGACGCCACTTTGAAAAAAAAAGTATTTTAGCAGATGATGTTTAATGTTGAAATATAAGTTTTAGTGCCAACATTTATTATGAACACATGCATTTTAATCATGATAAGCTAGATCGCAAAGTCTTATCTATTAATAAACAGTGGTTTGAAAAATGATTTAAAAATTATCAGTTACCTATTGATAACTTCTCGAATGAAATTTTGTTTGTTTTGTTCTGTGTAGTTAAATCGCGTATTGGACTACGGAAAATATGAAGAATTAGAAAATATGATCATCCAAAGCTGAAAAAAATTCAATTTAAAAGAGAAAGTTAATTAGCAAACGCTAATTACGAACGATCCTTTATTAATCGCCCTATGTGCTCACGACATGTTTCGGGAAGTCTATCTCAATTTTCCAACTATATATCATGCAGTCGATATCGCTAGCAAGGAAGCAAATTAAAACCCTGG